AACACCGGGAACAGCTAGAGTTGGAGCGGGAACAGCCGGAGACGGGCTGGGAACACCACGAACAGCCAGAGTTGGAGCGGGAACAGCCGGAGACCGCTCGGGAACACCCGGGACCGCCCGAGTGTCCATCTCTGTGTCCCCCCGAGGGACTGACCGGGACCGCCTCAGACACCGCCCCTGTGTCCGCCCGTGTGCTATCCCCGGGACCCGGCCGGCGAGGCAGAGGCTGCGGTGCCGCTGGAGAAGCCGGGATGTGGAGCAGTCCCTGCCCGCCGGTATCCGCAGGGACCCCACGGGCAGGGCCCAGCTCGGTGCCGTCCCAGTCCCCTTCGCCTCCGCTCCGCCCCGGCCCGACCCTCCCGGGGGAACCGACGGACCCGCCCGGGCTGCCCCGCACCGGCCCCTGGGCGGGAGCTGCGCCGCGGGAGCTGCCCCGGGCCCTCCGCCCCACGGCTGCACCGCTCCGTGTGCGCTGCAGGCTGTGCGTGTCCGAACCGACTGCTCTCCCGCACCACCGCGGCTGCGGGGATACAATTTCCTAGCGGGGACGCTGTTGGAAGACGACGACTTGTAAACCAAAAAATAAGACTCTGCATCACCACAGCAGCTGCTACGGTGTGCTGATCCCGCGGCATCCCCACGGGAGATGTAAGGTAGTTCATTTTGTTACTAACACTTTGGCCATCGCGCTCCTGTGTGCCCTTTTCCCATCGACACTTCCTCTCGCACTCGGAAATACCATTTAAGAGAAAGACGGTGGTCCTAAATCATCATTTTTATAACTAATGACAGGGCAGTGTCTTTGATGGGACCCTCCAAATAAAAAGTTTCCCCCTATGACGGGGAATCCTCACAGATTTATGCTCCAGGCAGCAGACAGAGATTGGATTGCAGCTCTGTCCCTGCTGCCCTGCAATAGCAGGTGGGACTGTAACTGAGCTGTGCTTGAGCTGCTGCTCTGTGGTCTGAAACAGTGAATCACTCTTCATTTTCTGATTTTTCAGGATTTCCCAGAAAACTGAGTCAGGTGTCTCAGTGAATAACCCCCCTTCGATTGCTCACTGCGCTGGTGGGAGCAAGTGAAGGGCTCTCAGTGCACGCCGCTCCTCTCCAGTCCCAACTCCATCTGTTCATACCCTGTACAACCCTCTGGAGTCACCACACTCAACTGCTCTGGTACCTTTTCTTTCCTCTCAATGAAGGTCACATTTTTATCCAGGATAGTTTTTCCTGATTGTCCTTTAGGAGCAGGTTTGTGATGAATCAAAATAAACCGCTCTTAAAACGCATTAAATATGGGTTGCACCAGTTTAATTAGGATAAGTTTAAATGTCTCTTGAAACTAAAGCAGTGCATATTTCTTCAATAAAGTGGCCAGTAAAATCCTGAAAGCCCAAAGGTGTGGTCAGGATGTATGAGCAGGAGATGGTGCAGTAAGTGAATGGGAAAGCACAGCAGTGGTTATGAAAGGCAGCATTAAATGTACACAAGAGGTCTATACATCAAAAATTGGCTTAGCAAATGAGTATTGCTTTTGTGGAGTGCTACAGCTGAATTAAATTTGGATTTTTAACAAATGTTTCTACCTGGAAATTTAATTAAAACATAGTAGATGCTGTGACTATTTGTTATTGCACAAATAGAAAGAATAATAATTTGGGTTGGGAAAAATATCAATCTATCCAATCTATGTTATGAGTCACACATTTTATTGATTTTATCAGAGAACATTTCATTAATCCCTCAGTTGCCCTGATCCTGGACTTCATTTGCATACCACCATCTCCAGAGTTTTCATAAGAGAATGAAAAGTTAGACATGTGATTCTGCAATTAGTACTGACTATGAAACAAATTTTAATGTGCATTTTTCTGTGGCATTAAACTGGGTGTGTCCATAAAAACCACCCTGGAGGAAACTTTATTGCTTTGTAACTTCAGAAGATAAAAGTCACATTCCCACCGGAAGGAGAAAATGGCAAGTATTAAAATTTTAACAGGTATTTGTGGGTGGTAAATCTATAAAACATTTATTAGTATTTCTTCCCACTCACCTCTTCTAAATTGAGAGATAATATATATATATATATATATATATATATATAAACACACAGAGTAAGAAAGTATAATAGAATGTTTTATTTAATAAAACATGATGTACAGTGACTCACACTGGACTGCTTTCAAGTCAGGAGGTGAGGACATACCTAAGAATGTCTATAAACTTGCTGCTGAAAGTGGTTTTGGGCTTGGGCTTTCACACAGAGAACGAGACTTCTAGTAAAGCACAGAATCTCTGTGAACTTTTTTATTCATTCTTCTGCTATAAAATTACTTTTCAAATATTCAGATGTGTTTCATCACAGAAAACATTTCTGAACATATTTATTGCTCTTTCATTTTTAGGAATTATATATGTAAAGAATATTAAAAAAAAAATCAAAGATATATAATAGTCTTTAGGGAAGTTAACTTCCAGCCATGGTTTTAAAATTGCCTGTGAAATAAAATCCACCACAGAACTTGCTGAGCTGCTCTTCATCTCTCTACACTGCTAAACCCTGTGCCCTGTTTCCAGCCCAGGTTTGTCACCAATAACTCAGTACACAATAGGATCCCTCTGCCATGTTCAGCTGCACAGTGATAACAGGTCACAAACAGCTTCTTGTCTTCTAAAGAAGTGAAAGTGCTTAGAAAGGAGCACTATTTTCCTGGTTCTGTGTTTCTTTAAAATACACACTTTCAGTGCCTTCAATATGCAATTCAACTACCTTAACTTTAAATTTAACATCAAGATGGTACCTACCAGGTTCAAATCAGATTTTGAGATTATTTCTTAAAATGAACTTACAGAACTCTTTACCTGTATTATTGAAATTTACTTTACACTATAAACATATTCCTTTAACTGCTGATTTTAAGTATGACTTAGAAATTATAAATTCACAACATTGGAGAGTACAAAGATGACTAGAAAACAAGCAGCTGCCCTAGGAATAGCATAGAACTGTTTAGGTTGAAAAAGACCTCTGAGATTCCCCCAGCACTGCCAAGGTCACCACAAACCCATGTTCCCAAGTGCCACATCCACACATCTTTAAATCCCTCCAGGGATGGAGACTCCACCACTTCCCTGGACATCCTGTTCCAGCACCTGACCACCCTTTTCATGAAGAAATGTTTCCTATTTTCCAACCTGATCCTCCCCCGGCACAGCTTGAGGCCAATTCCCTCTTGTCCTGTCCCTTGTTCCCTGGGAGCAGAGCCCAAGTCCCACCTGGCTCCCCCCTCCTGTCAGGGAGTTGTGAGAGCGAGAAGGTCCCCCCCGAGCCTCTTTTTCTCCAGGCTGAGCCCCCCCAGCTCCCTCAGCCCCTCCTCATAAGATTTCTGCTGTAGACCCTTCACCAAACCCAGGTCAACTGCTTGGAAGGCAGAATATGTTTAAATTCAGTTTCATGTATCTCAGTTGCAAAGGAATTTCATTTTTATATATGACTTGTAGAAATTTTGGAGCTCTTCAAGTTAGTTGTAAATACTTCTCTACTCACCTAGACAGGACTTGATGGAGAGGCTCAGGAATATTTGACATCAAGAAGGCTACAATTTAACCCTTAAGCTTTTCAAGGGGGTTGTTTTCTATTCCTTTGTTTGTTTTTTTAATTCATTCTGGCCAACTTCTCTCTTTCAGAAACTTGCAAGTTGTTTCAGAAAAGAGCATCCAGCCTGTTCAGCCTCCAGAGGAGACACTGGAAGGGACCCCATCCATGTCTGTCAGTGTGTGCAGGGAGGGGGCAGAGGCTGGAGCAGGCTCTGCTCGGGGGGCCCAGCAATGACACAGGAGGAACGGGCAGGAACTGATGCCCAGGAAGGTCCAGCTGGACATGAGGAAGAACTTCTTTGTTGGGCAGTGACCCAGCCCTGAACAGAGACCAGAGAGGGTGTGGAGTCTCCTCACTGGGGATATTCCAGAACCATCTGGACACAATCCTGTGCCGTGTGCTCTGGGATGACCCTGCTGGACCAGATGATCCACTGTGGTCCCTTCCAACCTGACCCACTCTGTGATTCCGTGAAAAATAAACTCTGACAGTTTTCCACTTGAATTCTCTCCTGAAATGCTCATTTACTGTGTCCTGAGCTCAAAGAAATGTCTATTTCTATTTCCTGTTCCAACCACACGAGCTTGGAACCCTAATTCTATATATGGGAGTCTTCAACTCCAGTTTTGAGAGGCAGATGAGGGAGGACTTAGGAAGTTGTTCACTAGAAGCAAAGCCATGTGACTCTTTGGGGCAAACGGTTGTATTTCAAGGTATTGCTCTTCCCCTTCTCTGGGCTGTCACGTCAGAACCACCCTTCCTTCCTCCCTTCCCCTCCTTCTGTCCCCTCTCTCCAGGAGCCAGGGCTGCCCTGTGACCTCCCCCACCCACCTCTGAAGCAGATACATCTCCCTCTGTGAGGAGGCAGGAAAATCAGAGCTGATCCTCCAGACTCTTTCCATGCTCTCCACCTCCTCCAGTAGATGTCATTTTGCCCTGCTTCAGAAGCAGCCACACCAGCCTCTTTCCTTGTAACAGAATATCCGTGTCTTTGTTACTTTTCTAAAGAGTAGCTTTACTTGAGCTAAGTTACAAATGCAAATTGTCTGCAGTGGTCTCCCATGGACTTGATATGGTTTATCAGTCATTAACTGCAGAACTTTGCTACAAAGTCTTTGAAGTAGTCCAGGACATGCTGGAAGTGATTACAGCAAATCTCCCTGGGCACTCAAATCCTCCATGACTTTACAGTCAGTTCAACTTGGGCACAAAGTTCCCAGGACT